TGTGTGTTTGTGGGTCAGTGTGCAGTGGTGTGTGTCGTCCCTCTGATGGATGAAGTCGTGAACATGCAGCTGGTCGTGAAGCCGACAGCAGCTGACGAATGAAGCGTCTCACCTTCAGAACCATCCTGCTCTCTGATTGGACGCCTGAAGGACGAATTATCAGATTGTGTTTCTTGATTTCGGTGATGTGATGAAACACAAACACACATGAGGTGTTTTCTTCTGACAGAGGCGACATGAGGAGATCGCAGCCCTTATTGCTCCTTAACAGACCTTTAATTGGAGCCGTCTGTCTGCTCTGATGTGTTTTGACGTCCGGCTGGTTGATTGTCATGAGCTGCTCTGATTTGACGGACAGCTTGACAGCCGCTGTGATTGGCCGACTGCTCCGGCTGACAGGATGAATGTATTTATTAGTTTTACAGCCATTAGAGTCGATGCGCCGCTGCGCCGAGGCGACTTTGCGGCTTTGTGAGGACCTCCTGCAGCGTTTCCAACACGTCTTCTGTGTGTTTCTGTTTCCCAGTGGAGTCCAGCAGCCCCAGCCTCCTGGCGCCCGACAACACTCTGGAACGGTCCTTCTTCATCCGGATGAAGTCGACGCTCACGAAGAGAGGCGTGCACATCAAGTCCTCAGGATATAAGGTAGCACAACCCACCTGACGCACAGAACTCTCCCTACTCGGTACCCACTGAGGCTGAACAGGTTGGATCAGAATCCGGATCAAATCGCTCATTCACACTACACTATCATATAAACTATGAATATTTTCTAACGAGACATTTGAGGAAACTTCTCAGTTCTCTGACATTTGCGAGCCCAAACAGCTGATCTGTGAGAAGAACAAGAGAAGCTGCAGCAACAAAAACTGTTTTGATCATTAAAACGCAATTTTATTTTCAAACACAAATGTCAAATATTTTCTGGTTCCAGCTTCTTAAATGTGAAGATTATTCATCTTCTGTCTGTACGATGCTCTGAAGACGTCACCTCGATGTGTGGCATTACAGAGGACAGTCTACAGGATTTGTTCAGAATGCAGAGAAGAAAGAACTAAATACGTCCACACCGACGTGTGTGTGTGTGTGTGTNAGAGTATCTTCATCGTTGTTACTCAGGTTTTTTACAGAACCTTATTTGAAGTGAACATCATGGTCGTGGCTGGGTTCATCTTCCAACACTTTCTCCTTCACCTCCTCTTCTCTCCATCTCTCCTCTTTCCTCTGTTTTCTCTTCACCTTTCCTTCTTTACTTTTTTTTTCTCCTGATGTTAACGTTCATTTCTTTTCATTCTTTTCTCGATTCCTTTCCTTATCCTCTCTTCCTCTCCTTCTTCTGCATCCTCCAGTGGTTCTGATGTTGTCCATGTTTGTTTTCAGTCCGTCTGTGTTTCCTTCTCCTCTCAGATCACTTCCTTTTCTTTCTCTCCTACCGTCTGTTTCCATGTTTGTCTCTGCGCTGCATCCACATATTTGTTTCTCGTCCTTCCTCCTCTATTCCCTCCTCTCTCTCCTCCCTCCGTCTCTGTTTCTCTTCAAGGACATTTATATTATAAAGGAGGAATTTGCATATTAATTCATTTCTTTCAATTTTTTCAGATTAGACGTTGTCAACACGTATCAGCGCTGATCAAACCGCCGAGTCCACCAGAGACCTGAGAGTGTGTGTGTGTGTGTGTGTGTGTGTGTGTGTGTGTGTGTGTGTG